AAATCATGTAAATTCTCTTTGTCTCATCTTTTATCATTGGCAAAATCAGGTAAATATCTGTAACATGTCTAAGGGTTTTGTAAAATTTAATTAAGAACACATACATTTGTTCACATACATACAGGTTCTATAAATAAACATACTACAAGTTAAGACATAATAGGTTTTAAGGCCAGGAATCAAACAATGTTATACTAACTATCTGATATTATGATCACGTTTTGAACACTATTCATTTTAATGATGTTGCAACTCTCTATATCTTAAATTTTAAAAGTATGTACATTTAAGTATTTATAAAGTTAAATAAATTCACATAGTTAAAATTCATTAACTATAAATATGAATTTTGCATATAAATATTTAGACATGATTTCAAAGTTTAGATCTGCCTTCTCTTTTATCCTCCTAACATAAGACAGAACACACAGAATTTCTAAATGTTAGTTTCTGCTTCTGTAAAATAAGCCTTAATAATGCTTAGTATCAAACATTAGGGCTATATGAAGTATATCCATTTGAGGCACTCTGAAAGAGCCTTGCATGTATTAAGTGTGAAATAAATAGTGTATTTCACTTTCTCTGAGGACATTTACAGTATTTTCATACTACACAGAGGCTAAATGTTATGTAAGTATGAAGGACATTATTTTAAAATATTTATGATCAACTCAGTTCCATAAACATTTTGGGACTCTAATATAACTTAGTTCCTGTCATTGGCTCTTCCCATTAACCTTTACCATGGAAATGCAAGTATCACAATCATATAATTAATGGCTATGTAAAGAAATGTGAATTTTATTTTGAATATAGTCACGGTAACCATTAATCCCACATGTACACAATTAAACTAGAAGAGTTTTATGAGTTGTCTTCTCTTGATATGTCTTTCTGATAAATATCATTTTAAATTACCTCCATCCTTTCCTGTATAATGTGTTTTTAGGAGGCCAAAAACATTTACTTCTTGATTTTTTGCATCCTCTGGTGTAAATGAAGCAGAAATTTACATGACTAGTTTTGTCCTATAACAACTTCTTCAACTTTTCTCTGTCTTATTATGCCAACCCTTTTTCTTTTAATATTAGCAGCATCGATTGGTGCCAGAAACACTAATCTAGAAAGAGTGTTAATTATCTGCAGCTGCTCAGGCAGCAACGGAGCATAAAAGGCTGGGTTTCTTACTCCCACTACAAAACAACAACACCAAAAAACCCACTGAAATTTCAGCATCTGCAGAAATTTTTCCAAAATAACAATATAAAATGTGTATCATATTCAAAGCCTGGGAAAACCATAGAAGATTTTATATTAAACTATCAATGTAATTCTATCAATAAACTAATCACTGTTATACTACCATATTGAAAAATATGCTACAGTTAAAGTTCTTTCTCATGATTCACAAGATGAATTAGTTTCATGTAGTAATAATAATATTAATAAAATAATTATCAGACAGAGTATTGTGCTTGTTTGATGCCAGTTCTTTTCAAAGAAATCTATTAGGAGACAACTTTCAAATATATTACTTGGACAATGAGATGATGGGACTGTCCACACTCTTCTCCATATTGGCAGTAGTAGTCAAAGCTAAGGATAAAAACTTGATGAGGTAAATAACCATATGATTTCTGTGATTGTGGAACACAAATACTGTTATTTGTAATAACTAAAGAAGGAGAAGTGTACCTATTATTTCAATCACTTACAAATCTAAAAAAAAAAAAAACCTAGTGGTGTCTTAAAGTTGTTATGAAATTCTCCTATATTTGCTGTTTTTATATTGTCCTTTTCTTTTTGTTCCTGCAAACTGTAGTTTTGATCATTGCTCCAATAAATTTATTTAAAAACATTTGTTGATGGCTTCTGATTCTCTTTCAACAATATGCACAAAGCTGACAGAAAACTATAGACCTACTTGAGCTGTGTTGGCCCTTTCGCTTGATGAAACTGCTTGTCAATACTTTCAGCACTAAATGTTATATACAAACTGCAGGTATTTTATTGTACTGCTCAAAGAAAAGGCATACTACATTTGAGTCTGAGGTACTGACTACATTGCAAACTCTACATTCATAATCCTTCCAATCAACTGAAGAAGATTTGAAGATATATTATTACAAATGTGGTGTATTGGTTACTTTTCTCCTTGCTGAGATAAAGTACTCAACACCCAAAGTTAAAGGAGGAAAGGCTTATTTATCTCACAGTGCATAGACTTTCAATTCATAGTTGGCTGGCTCCAAGACAGGGTGGCATTGCATAGAATAAACAGTTCATGGTAGGCAGAAGGCAGCAAAGTTTAAAGAAGGAAATCAGCAAGCACCAAGTAACAGGTAACAACTCTCTTTCTGTCACTTATATTCTTATCCAGGCTACCCACTGTCAGGTTAACACTCAAATGAGGGAGGGGAATCTTCATCCTAACAATGCAGCATGGATCAATCCCAGTATCACACCCTTGATCCCAGCATCACAGACCCTAGATCTAGCCACCTTGGTAATCATAAAGAAATGATATAATAACAAATGCTAGTGAGGCTATGGGAAAAAGGAATCCTCCTACATTATTGATGGTAATGTAAACTAGTATAATCACTGTGGAAATCAGTACAGAAGTTCCTCAAAAAAGTAAAACCAGAGCCGTGGGTATAGCTCAGTGTCAAAAGCACCTGCCTGGCAAGTGCATGGTCCTGAGTTCGATTCCTGGTACAAAAAATAAAACAAAAAAACTAAAACTAGAAATTGATTTGGCCCACCTCTTCCCCTTCTAGATATTTTCCTGAAAGTATTAAAAGCATTACAGAGATACATGCTTATAGCAGCACAATTGATAATAGCTAAATACTGGAAGATAATGGATAAAGAAAATGTGGTATTTATACACAGTGGAGTACCACTCCATCAGAAAAAAGCATAAATGAGTCATTTATGAGAAAACTGAGGCACCTTGAGACCATCATGTTAAGTGAAATAGACTGGACACACAAGCTTAAATATCATGTGCTTTCTCTTATGAGAAAACCCAATGCAAAATTAAGAGCAAAATAAATTATAGATATTAGGAAATAGGAACATAGATCATTCTCAAAGGAGAAGGGGATCAAGACATGGGGGGATGGGAAAGAAAGGGATAGGACCATGGTTGAAAAGGAATTGTCCTGTATTTTGTGCACGTACCAATCCCCCACAATGAATGTAAACATTACGTACTTCAAATGTACAGAAAAAAGAAAAGGATCAAGGCATAGGTGGAAGAGGAGAGAAGAAACTAGAGGGACGAGGAAAGGAATTAAGATGTGTTATGTAATTGTACAAACTTCCCAGGAGGCATGTGAACACTGTGTAATACACATGTGTATTAATGAACTAACTAACTAAATAACTAACTAATTGAAGCAAGCCTGTAAAATTTGGTGCTGAGAACTAAGGATTGAAACATGCCATAATTCTCTGTCAAGGTTTTGGGTACCCAGGTGCAGCAAAGATGTGCATTAATTTCCTTAATTTTATGACTTTTAAAGGGATTCTCTTTCAGAGAAAACTCTTATTGTGATAGCAGACCCCACTGATATTTTGCTCTTAGTGAAGAAATTTTGCTATTGGGGTATTCTCAGGAATAATTGGACTTTTGTAAACTTGCATATAAATCCCATTATCACAGTATGCTAGAAGAGAGAATGACACCATTAGAGAATGACATAAGTGACATTTCTAAAAAACAGTAAATTGCTCAAAGGAAGGAACAACTGGGATGAAGGAAAGAAGAAAAAAGAAAGGAAGGCAAAATATAAATGTGTGTAGGAAGAGCTGTGATAACTGTGCTGCTAATGTCTGATGGTATATTGAAAAGAATAGTTAATGCCTAAAATTTTTGATGTTCTGATCAATTTTGCATGCTTATATCTGGTAATCTGAGCAACTGATTTGAAGGTAACAATATGCAATGGAATTACCATGGTGAATGGCAAACGAACAGTTCCAAAGGTGTTAATGTGTGTGGATGGAAACATGAATCATAGTTTCTTGGTGATACATTCCTGATAACCTTGCTTTTGTGCCTCCGCAGGGTACAGTGACACTGTATAAGTGATTTCCAGGAAGTCTTTTTCTCTCTACATTCCTAGAGTGTTGTGCTCTTTCTCCCTGTATTTATTTTGCAATTACACTCATGGTATGTCATCATTGTTTGTCTCAAGTGAACACGTACTGGCATTGCAGTGGGATTTTAATTTCTTGAACGGACCATAGGCTATTTCTAAATCATGGATACTTCTTCAAGCAGAACATGCCTTACAGATCAGTGACAACTTCTATAAAAGTTATTTAAAAATCTTTCCTTCCTTTCTTGGAATGTTGTGTAGCCAGGGGCAACAGATCCAGGACTCCACTCATTATGTGTGTGTCTTAAGGAGCATTCCCTAGAGATGATTGGGAGTTCTCATCCCAAATATCTATTTTGTGACTCAGAATCTACTTTTACAAACACTGGTACATTCATACATTCAGTTCCTCCCCTTTGATTTTAGTTCAAATTCTTCCCAGAAGAAAACTGAGATTTTTGAGTAACCACAAGTAAAGCATATTTAGAAGATAACAAAAATGTAATTATTTCTTAAATATAAAAATTCACAAACATTAGAATACAACATATAATCTGCATTTTTAATAATATATGTGATGATTCTATAATCCACAGTAATTATGATTTATAACAATGTTTAATCCTAGTGGATTATCATTGTATGAACCGATCTTCTGAAACCGTTTTTTTTTTGTTTGTTTGTTTTTCTCCGGTACCAGGAACCGAACTCACGACCTTGCGCTTGCCAGGCAGGCACTTTTGCCGCTGAGCTAAATCCCCAGCCCCTGAAACCCTTTTAATAACACTCTGCATAAAGATTAGCAGACCCTCAAAAATACTTCTACTTTGCCATGGTTTGTGACAAGCAGTACTGTTAGGTTTTAGTGGGGTTCAGTGTAACGGTATTTACCTGTGAAGTAGCCTCCGGTGACTAATGCAGACTGCAGTCTGAGAATCTTGAGAAATACATACTTTATGGCGACTACATTTCATCTTTAAGCATGGATCTTTCGCAGGATCTAAAGCTGAGAGAGAAAAAGAGAGAGAGAGAAAGGGAGAGAGAAAGAAGAGGGAAAGAGTACAGAATATATTAAAATAAATTTTGTATAGTGGAGGCTTCTAAGTTAATGAAACATAATTTTACCAAATGATTTTATAACACTGCGCTGTAAACATTTTTCCTATTTTTCCTCTGTTAAGAGAAACTTCTCATAACTCTGACAATAGATTAACAGATAATGGCAGTTGAATCTTCACTAGCATATACAGCACTAAACCACATATACCACTGTAATTAAAAAGTGAAATAAAAACAGAAACTTTAAGATTAAAACTTGGCAGGTGCTATTCTTATGACAGTAACAAAGGTTGATGAACAAATTTAAATTTAGTAATATTTATGCTACTGGAGAATTACAAGACGTATTTCTACTTTCCCTCAATAAATGCTAATGGGTAAACAAAAAAGATTAAAACCCAAAAAGATATCAGGGATCAGATCTCTTCAGTTAGCCAAGAAGTGTCTAGAGCTGCACTTTAGGTTTGCCTGAATGCACAAGGTAAGAGCTGAGATGTTGCATTTTCATTTTTAATTTGTTATTGCTGATATTTGCACATTCGTTTCTGTAATCAGCCTCTGCCTTGGCATCTGGCAATACAAAGACTATGTGATCTGTTGATTTTTTTAAAAAATGAAAGCCTTATGGATGTTCCATACACTATATTCATTTAAAGTTTACAATCAATAGTTTTCAATATACTTACAATTATCAAAATAGTATAATTTTAAATATTTTGATCACCAATTAAAACTAAACATACTCTGTAGTTACTTCCCTTCTTAATTAGTATAAGGCAATCATTTATCTAATTTCTCTATGTATAAATAAATTTTGTAGCTATTTCATAGAAGCTGAATCATGAACTATTTAGTCTTTTGTCGCTGACTTTTGTCACACAGTGTAATATTTCTGAAGTTTAACTAATTGTAGCAAAGGTCACTGCTTCAGGTTTTAATACTGCTAAATAATATTCTGTGGTATGAATACACCATATTTTATTTCTTTCTTAACTAGTAGATGGGTATTTTGGTAATTTCAAACTTCTGATGACTGTGAATAAACTTTTTTGGGTTATAATTATTTGGTTGTGGTTTTGTATTTATTTTTTGTCTTTCCTTATTTGGAAAGGAACTCTATTGACTCCATGAGCTAACTTTTGCCTCATAAACGTGGGTCTGTCTGTAGTTTTTTAGCGGGCTGATTTCATCTCTTTTGGGTGTGGATCCTGAAAATGGATCATGGCAATACAAGGTAATTTCTTTTTAGTTTTTTAAAGCACTGCCATACTGTTCTCCATGGTGGTTTTACTAATTTACATTCCCACAAATAATGTAGAAGAGTTCCTGCTTTCTCCCTATCCTTGCAAATACTTATGTTTTTTGTTGATAGTAGTAATTATAATTGGGATGAGATGATATCTAATTAAACTTGCATTTGTACTTTAATATACTTAATCTAGGATATTGCTCCAAAAAAGTTTGTATTTATAAATAAAACACTATAGCACTTATAATACTATCATAGCCTATCCTACTACATTTTGTATACAGACTAATATTTTATTTACTCCAACTTATTTTACACAATCTCCATTGGATAATTTTTTAAAAGGTTCATGAAATTTGCATTATGTCTGTTCAGAAGAGAAATCAGAACTCAAAACTTGTTTCACAGTAAGAAAAGAATTTTCAGAACACATTTAACACATAAAACAGAACTCAGTGACAAAACTTTGCACAAAACTCTAAATAATGAATCAAAAAAAGAATGGCAGTGCTTGTCAGGGTTGAAAATATAATAGGAGAAGTATAAATATGAAGAATCAGATGCACAGTATCTATAATAAGGAAAAAAATCACTTCTGTGTATGTGATTTTAACCATCTGTATTTTGTAGTAGAACATTCTCATTGTTGGCAGCTTTAAAGCTACAAAACATCACACACTGTAAATACAGATGCTGAAGATTTTATTCATGAAATCACAAGAATAACAAGTGACATTCCTCTTGGCTGAAGCCCAGGGATTAGAAGCAATCTGTATCTTAATGATGCTTGGCATAATTCCATCACCTCCCTCTATTATTATCTTCATTTCTCCGTATTCTAGAATTTAAATTTCTCTGTTCTGTTCAGCATTGCTACTCTAGCTTGTTCTTGAGCATCCAGTAAAAGTATCTCTAGTAAGATTTCAGCTGGCACCTTTGACTTTACATGATCATATTATTTCTTTATCATAATCTTTAACAATCATTCCAATTTTTGTGACTCAAATGGGTATCTAACAAATAATTTTTACTTGATTCAGAAAATTCAGTGTGTATTTTATGAAATGCTTTATAATTATAACTTTGAGTCCCATTACATCTGTGAGGTAGTACTTCCGTTCCTCCTTTGCCTGCTTTTAATCCAAAGTCTCTGTTTACTGACAAGCCAGAGAAAGTAGGAAGGCTCAAGCTTGACCCAGATGGTCGTGGTGGAATTGGCTAAGCCAGGAAGGGTAAAAGCAGAAAACAATTATGAGGGAAAGGAGGTATGTTAGGAAGAAAAATCCAATGCAAGACAAATTCCACCGTACAAAAAGAACACAAAAGTAAAAACACAGAGCACTGATGCTAAGTCAGAACCACAAACATGGACCATGCAATTTATAGTATTTTAGATTTTGTTTGTTTGAGTTGAGAATTAGTGCTAGGGAGACTGTCACTGAGTACAGCCTCAGCCCTAAAATCCTAAAATATAGTTACGCACTGACTTTAAGTGGAGAAGCATTCTTGTTTGGTGTTCATGTTTAGTGCATGTGGCCCGTGGAAAAGAACTTGTTAAAAATAGCATCTAAGAATAAAGGTAGGTATTAATTTTAGTATTGAAAATTGAAGCAAACTTTAACAGGATAGGCTGGGGCTCCTAGTATGCAAACTCATTCCTGTATTTTAAAAATATTTGTCTATGTGAACATCAGATCATCAAAAAATAAATGCCAAACGTTCTACATTAAAGCACATTTAGATCATGTGATATACATGAGATGTGGATGAAAATAAAGAGAATATTGAAATTTAATAATTAATTACAGTAAAAGACAGATTGACATTAACCCACTCAAAATACCCCCCCCTTCAAGTATGCACACCCAAGGGTTCTTGCCACTTCTGGAAGCAGGCCCGGAGATCCTCTTTCATAAGCTTCCTTAGTTGCATAGTCAAGTTGGACACGATTTCTAATCAATCCAAAAGTTTTAACTTCAGGGTCATTTTGATTTTGGGGATGAGCCAAAGTTACATGGTGGCAGATCTGGTGAAGAAGGTGGATGACAGAACACCATAGTATTCTTTAAGTCTGATTTTCTGCTGGATGGCACTCAGCCACAGCATTCACCATGGTTTGGTCACACCTTATAAAGACCCCTACAAAAGAGGACTTCAGACCTGCTTCAGAAAGTGGCAAGATTAATGGGCTGTGTTTGAAATGAGGCAGAGGATATTGAGGTAGCTTATGGCAGTGTGTCTTTTAATGTAATATTTTTTAAACATTTACTGTATATTTTGATCATTCATAGATGGCACATGAATTAATAATGAACAAGTAGTCTTGGCTCAGCCACTTCCAGAGAAAAGTTTAACTATTTTAGAAATATGATAGCAAATTTACTAGTACCGATTAAAAGTTTCAAAAGACAAACATATTACAAACTCTACTATATAGTACAAGTTAATCTCTGACCAGTTGGAACCATTTATAAAATGAATAAATTGTGTTAGATGGTCTCTAAAATTTCATTTTTAAAAGGTGTATTATTTTATTTTAGCTTACAGTATTGTCATCAGATCTCTCACATGGAAGTAATGTTTTGTATAGAAAGAGAAACAAATAAATTCTAATTAGAATACAGCATTGTGTGGAAATTTTATACATGTATGTGTGTATTTGTATGCTTGTGTGCATATAATATAGAATATTATATATATACACACGTACAGGGAAGTGAGGTGATTATACAATGTTAAATAGAAGATAACTCATGTATGAGTGAAAACTTAAGTAGCTTTTGAAAGCAATGCAAGGATCAAGTGAAATAAATGAAATAAAACTCCAGTAGAAGGGCACAGGATAAATAGCAAAGCAGTATAAGAGTGTCCTATTTACACAATTGAAAAACAGGACCAATGAAGTGCAAAATGTGAGGGTTGCCTGTCAGCACCATAAGAAAACTTCAGGGACAGATAGGAATATCTCACTTTTGAAGTTTTCCTCAGTATGCACCGACAAGCCATTTCCTGATTCTAGTTAGGATAAAGGCATAAACAGGGTTGTGTGGTAGGAAGACCACACAAAAATCTGGAGATGCCCTGAAGAATGTACAAATAAGACAGGAGAGAAAGGATAAGAATTCAACCTATAAGGATGATTTGTGAAGACAGAGAGGAGGGAATGCATCTCAGAAAGAGGGTACAGATTCAATAGGTTGATTTTTTTCTTTTTGGTACCAGGAATTCAACTCGGGACCTTGGGCTTGCCAGACAGGTGCTTGTACCTCTGAGCTATATCCCTGGTCCGCTATAGATTCAATAGGACCACTTATTAAGTATAAAAAGAAAGTTGGACAGAAATAGAAGAAACGGTGATTGGTGATACTACCAAACAAGAAATAAGAGGCAAGACAAGTGCAGTAAATTTAGTTGTTAGTGTATTCATGGAATATTTGTGGAGACATCTGAGTTGAAATTTTCAGCAGCCACCTGGTATTTGCATGTGTTCATTCTAGTGGTCACCTTTAAAGAATATAAAGTAAAATCATAATCAGTCTGGGGATCTAATTAGACTTAAATTTATGATGTTACAAATAACAATGGAGCGTGTATTTTTATAGCTAACTCTCCTGTCCCCTTCTCAAAACTCATGAGAGAATTTAGGCAGCATTTCCTAGGTTTTTGTCATTGTAGGAATGGGGTAATTAAGGATGATT